GGAATCTTCCCTATAATATTGGGTTTTTTATTCATCAATGATTGCTTTCTACCTATGTTATTGTCCTGTTGCAGATTTGAGACCCTGTAATGCTTTCACTTCCCTTGCTTTCTTGCTCAAGTCTATATGACTACAGGAAACTAATGTGGATGTTTCCTATAGATCTACCACTAGGTTGCTGGATTGATTTGTGGGATACTACTTCATATCATTAAAAACTCTAGTTATATTTCAGAAATTCCTATAAGTCAAAAGTTATGTGGAAAACTTGTGGTGGAACCAAATGTTGCAAAATGGATATGATTTCTTGAAAAATAGCTGTAATGAAGATGAAGTAACTATGGTGTTTTGAGTGAAAGAATGAGGAAGATAAGCTTAGAAAATGCCTTTCTGATGTAGACTTTTGACAATGATGCTGGATAGCAGTAGCTTTTTTAATGATTGATGCCAGAAATACTTTATTACAGTTGTTTTCTCTTTCACCAACTTGTATGTGTTGGCTTTAAACATTGGAATTGAGCTTTGTTTAGTTCAAGCTTCCTTTAAATACCTGTTTCTACCCAAGAATTTCTGACCTAATTTGGTTTTCTTTCCTGTACAGTTTCTGGTGTTCAAAGCCTTTCTTCCAGCGTGCAGAGCACCCCTGAGAAAATTGGGCATTCAGATGATGCTTCAAGAAGTCCAGAACTCCTCCAGGAGTTTCTGAAATGTGGACCAAAGAAGGAACTTCTTCGAAGTTGCTTTGATAAGGACAAGAAAAACTCAGCTTCATCAAAAAGCAAAATGGCTGAACTTCTGAAGACAAATAACAAGACAATTAAGAAGCATGACTCTAAAAAAGTTTCTTCAAGTCCCACCAATCAGCCTTCTAGGAAGCAACAGAGAAAAGGGGAGAACCCCATACGACTCCCTCCTCCTCCTGAGCAGTCTCCAGATTTTGGATGTTCAAACACATGGATCTGTAAAAATTCTGCTTGTAGAGCTGTTCGATCCATTGATGACACATTTTGCAAGAGGTGTTCTTGTTGTATCTGTCACCTATTTGATGACAATAAAGACCCTAGCCTCTGGTTGGTTTGTACATCTGACTCTGGTCAAGAGGACTCCTGTGGACTATCTTGTCACATTGAGTGTGCCCTTCAACGTGAAAAGGTTGGGGTTGTTGATCTTGGGCAATTAATGCAGCTAGATGGCAGTTATTGTTGTGCTGCTTGTGGTAAAGTTTCGGGGATACTTGGGTAAGTAATTATTGCACCCCTTGACTTAAGGATACAATTATAGCACTGACTTTAACTGGTTTCACTGTTTCATTTTCCTGTCTTCTTACTAAGTGAGTTCTCTTTTCTTGAAGTAGTTGCCTGATTTAGCGAGGTACATCATAAATTATGCTAATTTTTAGTTAATGTGATTGAGAGCTTAGTATCTTTCCATTGGTTGTCTATTATCTAAACATGTCACTGTTATTTTATTGAAAGATTTACCATGTGAAGGAAAAGGTCTTCTCTGGTTTTTAGCTTGATAAACGCATTTGCGTTACCTTCATGGCCTTTTTAAAAATTTAACAGTCTCTGTAACTAAATGCTGGTGAAAATGGATGACTCTTGCTGATCCTGCCCAGAGATGGAACCAAAAAAAATATTAAGAAATTAGGAAAGAGAGGAAACTGTGGTTTACTTGTGTTCCTGAAATAGGTTTTTCGAACCTTGAACTGATGTGAGTTTTGTGGTGTGATTTATTGATATGGCAGATGTTGGAAGAAGCAGCTAATTGTAGCTAAGGATGCTCGACGACTTGATGTACTATGTTATAGGATTTATTTAAGCTATAGGCTCCTGGATGGGACTTCAAGGTTCAAAGAACTGCATAATATTATAAAAGACGCAAAGTCCAAGCTAGAAACAGAGGTGGGTTCAGTGAATGGAATTTCTGCGAAGATGGCACGTGGCATTGTCAGCAGACTCTCTGTAGCTGGAGATGTGCAGAAACTTTGTTGTCTTGCTATTGAGAAAGCAGATGAATGGCTGGCATCTATTTCTAATGTCAATTCAAATTGCAGAGGTACAACCCATTGTAGCCCTTTTCTTTTCATACAATTTTTGTGAACAAAATATATACAATTTTAGCAAAGGAATAATAAAATTTCCTTGTTCCCCTCGCAGAGGATTCACTTCCTGCTGCTTGCAGGTTTTTCTTTGAAGAAGTGACATCTTCCTCTGTTGTTATTATTTTGATTGAACTGTCAACCGTATCATCTGATGATATTAAAGGCTACAAACTCTGGTATTGCAAGAGTAGAGAAGAGGTGCACACAAAAGAGCCTATTTGTGTTTTTCCAAGGGCTCAGAGAAGGATTTTAATTTCCAATCTGCAGCCCTGCACAGAATACAGTTTTCGGATTGTTTCCTATACAGATGCTGGTGACATGGGTCATTCAGAGGCTAAGTGTTTCACCAAGAGTGTGGAGATAATTCACAAGAACCCTAATTCAACAATAGCTGTGAATCATAAGAAGGCAAATACCCTTGTTGAAGGAAGTTGTTCTAATGCTGAGAGAGAATCCAAAATGACAATGGGAGTAAGTTCTGGCTTCAAGGTTCAAGACCTTGGAAAGATCTTGCGTCTGGCCTGGGCTCAAGAACAAGGATGCCTCGAAGGGTTTTGCAGTGCTGACATAGAAAAGTGCTGTGGAGCAAACAATGCGGTCAAGCCTGAAACTCCTGAAGAAGATCTGTTGCCATCTATTTCACGTGGGCTTGACTTAAATGTTGTCTCAGTCCCTGATTTGAATGAAGAACTAACACCTCCATTTGAGTCCTCAAGAGATGAAGATAATGGATGCACTTTTGAGCAAGCTGTTGAAGCAGATGATGATGCTGCTTCTCATGACATAGAGAAAAACCGATTAGCAAGATCTCATGGCAGTGGTGACTCCCAGACCTGGACCCATGGGCCAGCTGGAGAAGTGCCTGCTGTTGATTCCCAGACAGAGTTGTGCAGGAAAAGATCGGCACCCTCAAATGAAGAGCCACATGACTGCAATAGCACTCTGATTAATGGGTCTCCATTCCGCATTTCCGATGGTTCGGGTTGCTTAGATGAGAACTTCGAGTACTGTGTCAAGATAATTCGATGGCTAGAATGTGAAGGTCATATTAACCAAGATTTTAGGTTGAAATTACTAACATGGTTTAGTTTAAGATCAACAGAGCAAGAACGTAGGGTGGTTAACACTTTTATTCAAACTCTGATTGATGATCCAAGTAGCTTAGCAGGACAGTTGGTTGACTCTTTTTCAGATATTGTATCGAGCAAGAGGCCTCGGAATGGGTTCTGTAGTAAGCTGTGGCATTAGATTAGGAGAGGGCATTCTAAGACGCAGGATTGCTTTCTACTACATGATTATTCTTTCCTTGCAAAGAAAAAAATTACCTCTGATTGTTTCACTGTTGTTTGTACAGGCATTTTTTCATAATCACTGTCAGAAGTGATTCATTTGTATTATGGACAAGTTTGTCCAGCCAAAAGATTTGGGTTGCTGATTGCAGAGACAGGGGACGCCTTTTGAAGTTAAGAATTACATCCTGGAATTCATTAATTTCCTAAATTGTCGGAAATACATTTGGAGCAGTGGAATATTCATGAAGGAGAAATATTTGTATGGATACTTTTTTAAGTCGCCTTCAGAAGGGGTGCATGAATTGGTCACAGATACTTACTTCGTTGCATTCTGTTTAGCATTTCCCTTTTCAAGTTGCCTATTACTTGCGTATATTTTGGTGAACAAGAGGTCCATCTGTTTATGCCCTGTCAACATTTCACTAATTCATCAGTCCAAAAAGATTTATCTTATTCATGCAAATGACATAATTTCATCAAATATTCTGTCTCTCTTTTCGTTTGAGCCATTACGGTGCGGGGCTCTCACTTCCCGCCAGGGCAACTCTTTGTTTACTTTTTTTTTTTTTTTACTAATAATTAATTTATAATATATTTGAATAACTTAAAATTAAAGATAAGTGAAATAAATTAATATAATTGGAGAATTTATAATTTATAATGGTGCGTTTGGTTTATTATTTTGAATAGGATTTTAGGAATAATATTGGGTAGTTGGATATGGGAATATTAAGAGGTAAAATTTAAAAATTTATAAAAAAACCCCTAGATTTGTTAATTTAATTAAATACCTTAATATATAAAATGATAAAAATACCTCTACTATCTGCAGTGCCAGATTATGACCACCACCGTCAGAATCTGGTCGAAAAATCGTGTTACGATACAGACCGGTCAAATCTATGTCGTAACGCATCGTTATGGCCTTTTTCGGCCAGATCCACCACGGATCTAGCCGGAAAAGGTCAGATCTATAGCCTATTGTGGCCGCGATAGCCGGAAAAGGCCAAAACGACAGCCATCTTTGGCCGTCGTTCACGGCTAAAGATATGGCCGTCGTTTCAGCCAACGATGGCTAAGATTTGGCTTTCTTTGGCCGTCGTTCATGGCCAGATCTAGCATTTTTCGGCCAAATACGGTCAGATCGGTGAACTTCCGACCATTTATGGTCGACAGGTAGGCCGTTGTACAGATTCTGGCTACCACCAACGGTGTTTGTCAGAATCTGGCAAATATGGGTCGCGGGGGTGTTTTTAATAATTTTTAAACTTTTTTTAGGGTATATTTGATGAAATTAATAACCTTATGGGTCTAAAAATTATTAAAAAAATAGGGTAATATTTATAGAATAATATGTAAAACATTATTTAGAGAATAAGATTGAGAATATAGATAAAAATAATAAGTCAAACCTGCCCTAAGTATGTCTCAATTTAAAAATATATATATATATATTAATTTAATATATTAAGGAAATAAAATTTTATAAAGTTGATGGAGACGTATTCTCATAAAATGGCAAAACGACACGTTTTGGTAAAGCGGATTTGGAGTTTGAATGATATTTGATTATTATTTATTATCTCACAAGAACACCGAAACGTGAGGCTCACAGAGTTCTTGCAAAATTCAACTCTCTCTCACTCTTACCATGCAAATTCTTCATTCTCCATGCTGGTCACATCTCTCGTTTCAAACCTCAAAATCAGCATCAATAGCTGGTAATCTTTTCTACTCCTCACTTTTTTTCTTCCTAATTTAATTATACACATTACTTACTTGAATTATGGTGTCTTTGTAGCTTTACCTTCACCTGAGAAATGTCTTCAATTATCAGCCACCAACTGTTGTTTTCAGCCTCCAAAACTGGAAGGGTCTTTTTGGGGATTACGTAAACCTTCCATTTTGAGCTGTGGCACCACTAAAGCTGCTTCCGTTGAAGGTGATCTTTTATCTTACCTAAGTTAAGCAACAAAGAAAGCTTATTACGTTGTTCACTGAACTGAGTTGAAGATGTTTAAGGTTCTTAACTGTGATGTGCAACTTAATTAGTGGCATTGTCTGAGCCTAAATTGTTGCCAGTAATTAGCCCCTGATTATTTTTAATGTTGTCTTACATATATTCAGAATCATATATAAGCATAGGAGCAATGTTTAGTTTTCATTATCTTATAACTTACTTGACTATATAAAAAAATAATTTTTGAACGAAATAGAGACAACAACAGGAACAAAATATAGTAGTAAAACAAAACAAACAGTAAACAAAAAAATAATACGCGCATTTACCCTGGTTCACCTATTGGGGCTACGTCCAGCTGATTCAATATTATTGCAATATGCCTCACCTCTCTCGTTTACAATGAATGAATTTCCTCTCTCGTTTACAATGAATGAATTGCTCTCTCGCACATAACAAGAGAAAAATATGTTTATATACTAGGTTTAGAGATTAAACCTAGTTTTACAAGGACTCCTATTCCTAAGCCAAACCAAAAAGGAATTAGTAACTTTAAAGAAATCCTACAGCGGTTATACATGGAAAAGCCCAAACAACCTACGGCTTCGGGCGCTGCCCTCACGACCCCCACCCGCTCACCGGGGAGCGGGGCACCCGCCCGCTGACCAGGCAGCGGGACCCCCGAGTGCATCTCCGTTACCCATTAATGCTGAAGTAGTCGACAACTCCAACAATTTTTTATATTTATATGGTCTCTATTGCATGGACTGGAATTTTAGATATGTTTAAGTGATATATTCTTCTGTAAAGAGAAAACTTCCTGGAGGCTGATAGATTCTGCAGAAGAACGTATGGATTGCTTTACCGATATTGAAGTCTTCGTTACGCACTACACAATATTTCCTTCACATCTATATCAAAATGTTGTTGAATTTTAGCCCACGCAACAATATGGTGTATGTAAGGAGGAATTTTTTTTTTTTCTTTAATGTAAAAAACCTGATTTGTCTGCCATAGTTCTGTTTGTCTTGATAAAATAACTAATTTTGCCTTTTTTTGTTTCTTTTTCTTTTTATGTATCTTAACTTTTTCCTCTGCTTATCTTTTAGCTGGTAGCTCTGCAGTGTCAACCGAAACAGCTGAGAATGATGTACTGAAAGCCTTGTCTCAAATTATTGATCCAGATTTTGGAACTGATATTGTCTCATGTGGATTTGTTAAAGATCTGCACGTAGATGAAGCTTTGGGGGAGGTCATATAAAGCATAAATGTGAAAGATTACATAACATACATTTCTAGGATAATGATCTTACTTTAACACTTTGACTCTGCTTGTCAGGTCTCATTCCGGTTAGAGCTCACGACTCCGGCATGTCCAATCAAGGACATGGTAAATGATACAATAATGATACAATCACCATTGTTTTGATCAAGAAGTGACCTATGTATGGAATGGTAGACTATTTGATTTGTGGTTTGACGATTATTTAGTATTGGTCTATTGGAACTGTGGGGATGACTTGAAAAAGTGTATAACAGTATTCTCATTTCTTTCTTCCTCATCCTTCTTGTGGATCATTTTTCATGCACATGGTGCACACTATTTTTTAGTGGCCCATGTGTTTTTGAAACTATATATTCTTTTAGTTTAACCCGAGTATGTTGATTGTGTTAATCAACTTATGATGTAGAAGATCTAACAAGATTTGATTACATATCAGTTTGAGCAGAGAGCAAATGAGGTGGTGGCTGCACTTCCTTGGGTCAAGAAAGTCAATGTCACTATGTCAGCACAACCAGCCAGGCCTATTTATGCGGACCAACTTCCGGCAGGGTTACAGAATATTTCTAGTATTGTGGCAGTTTCAAGTTGCAAGGTAGACTTTCCGTAAACTTCTTGTTTTGCTTCCTCCATATGTATCTGTATTGAAGCTTACTGTTGTATTAGCATGCTTGCCATTTGAGGTTATCCAATAGTTAATTGTTCAAAGTTCAATTGTGTACCCAGAACATGTTTTAACATACCCTTCTGGCACATTTTGTCTTTTGTTATTTTTGAATAAAGGTAAAAGGAAAATATTATAAGTTTTGGATTTGAAGGGAAAGGATCTGATGAATCTTGTGGCTTTTAACGGTGATAGAAAACAAGAATTCTTTTATTCTTATGAAATTTATTTTTCTTTTTCTAGTGTGCAATTTTTACTCAGAAAATATTTCCTATGAAAAATACTATATAAGCCTTTTCACATTTAAAAAGTTTTTAAATATCTTTTTTTTTTTTTTTTAATCAATGCATTTTATAAGAAAACCATGCAGGGGGGTGTTGGGAAATCAACTGTAGCTGTAAACCTTGCTTACACTTTGGCTGGTATGGGTGCAAGGGTTGGTATCTTTGATGCTGACGTCTATGGTCCAAGTTTACCAACAATGGTCTCCCCAGAAAACCAACTACTAGAGATGGTAGAATTTGAAATTTTTAACATAGTTTAACTGCAGTATGTTGAAGTGATGCAATTATAAACTTCTACGAACTTCTTACAGAATCCAGAGAAGAGAACCATTATTCCAACTGAATACATGGGAGTCAAGTTGGTATCTTTTGGATTTGCTGGGCAAGGCCGTGCGATAATGCGAGGTCCAATGGTTTCTGGGGTTATCAATCAACTTCTGACAACCACTGAATGGTATGTGTGCTTCTGAGTATCAGTTAGTACTTGCATACAAATATAAAGGCTAGAAGAGTAATATTTGTTCACTAGTTCAGACATTTAGATATTTAGAAGAGTTACAGTTCTGAAGTAATCCACATTATGTTTTATGCATTGTATGTGTCCAATTGATTAAGGTCAAAAGCTAGCCCCAAGGGCTGCTTATGAAATTTCATGGCTACATAATATGAACCTGGTTATACAGGGGAGAGCTGGATTACCTTGTTATTGACATGCCACCTGGAACCGGCGATATCCAACTTACTTTATGTCCGGTCTGATTTTTCTGCACTTCCTTTTTTTTTGCCTAAAATGAATTGATATTGTATTGTTACTCTGATTTTAATTTTTTATCTTTCCTCATCTTCCATTTATCAATCCATACTTATATTCTTGCTCTTTGAAGCATGTTTGTGCAGCTAGGATAGCTATTGAGAAATTACTCTGGCATAGCTTCTTTTCTGCCTGAAACTGTTAATCTCAATATTTTAGAATTTGGTTGGATATGATGGAAATCTCAGGTTTTTCCATTAACTGCTGCTGTTATTGTTACTACCCCTCAAAAACTAGCATTCATCGATGTTGCAAAAGGATTTCGAATGTTTTCAAAGCTTAAGGTGTGAATTTCTATACATAATCATCTTTCCTTTCCAAATGATGATTAATCTCATCTATTGGACAATTCTGACTTCTATGACAATTACATTCAAGTTGGAATAGCATGTAACTTAACTTTTATGTAGTATGATGAGTTGAGTTTATATATGCCTAATTCAAACATTACTTATTTCTCATATATATGATTTTCCGTGACCTGATCATGCAAGTAGGTGCCATGTTAGCTGTAGTTAAATATGTGCCACTTTGTGCTGATGGAAACGCTATTATCCTTTTGGTAGAGGCTCTGGTTCTCAGGCATGACCTATCCAACTGTTATTTTTTGTTGATTTAAGAAATAAGAAATATTTAATGCTGGAAATTTTTGCAGTTCTCGTACTATTTTTTATTTGAGAAATACTCTGATATTCACCCACATATTTGCAGGTTGTTCCAGTTTGAATTCCTCATTTGTTTGATCTCCCATTAGACCAACAGTATGTCCGATGATAAGTTACTTTTAAGTGCTTATCCTTTGAAACCTACTCGTCAGATGAACTATAATCCCAGGAAAATTCTGCCTAAAAATTCTTGTTATTTTTCCTTTCATTTGATATTCATTTCGTTTGGCCCTGTTGTAACTAATTTTTTAATTAAATACGTATTTCTAAATTATATAAATGAAGTAACTTATACTTAAGGTATAGTCCTCAAGTTTTACTATCATATTTTATGCCTTGGACATGGATATTCTGTACTCCATTATGAATCAATAAAGTCTTTCTCATTACATTATTTTTGTAGCTATCTGCTTCTGGAGATAGTGAATGCCTGAATGGTGGCGATCCTCTAGGTGAAGTTGCAACAACATTTCAGGACCTTGGAGTTTGTGTGGTACAGCATGTGCCAGATTCGCCAACAAGGTATCTATCTCTTTTCCATGCTCTTATGATATGTTCATTAAGTTGGTGAGTTAATGAAAAGAAGCTTCCACTCTTTGTGCACATATTACCTAGAACTAAAACTCTTACAATCACCTCTGGACCATTCATTTTGATTTCTGGAGTTTTTATTCAAACTTCCAAGTTACTTAGGTGGAAATAAATAGTTTCTTTTGTTGTTGTCTTTCCTTATGTCAACAGCTGTTTCTACAGATAAATCAGTCAAGGCAATCAGGTTAAAGTACCAAATTCAGATGAAGAGTCTTTCTGCATCCTGCAACTGTGAGAGAAATGTCGTTTCGCCCAAAGTGTGGTATATGTGGATTATTTTGAACAGTTCATACTTTTTATTGTATTTAATAGCTAGGCTTTAATTTTTAATCTTAATACCCAAATTTAATTGTGATAGGGGCATATAACAATATAACCTGACTTAGCTCACTGAAATGGTGTTACCATTTGCTCAAGATAGTCAAAGATTCCAAATAAGATGTTATACTGCAGTGTGCTTATAAGTGCCACTGATAAGCTATATCTTGCATGCACCATTGAAACGGTGTTCCCAAAACTCATATTTCCAAAGCGAAAACATGACACTAAGAACAGTCCTTTTTTCGGTTCCTATTCAGAGTGATGGACAGTTTCTTACCTCACTTTTTTTTTTCAATTCAATGAATTATTGGTAATTCTAAGAGAGAGAGAGAGAGAGAAACATGGGTGTAACTTCTTACTAACTCATACTTTTGGTGGAGGGGGATGTGCTCATTGTACAAAGTCTTGGTAGGTAAGGAAATTGCATGAAAAAATTTCTTTTCACAGTAAAATCATCTATAAGAGCCATTAATGGATCTTGAAAGTGATTTGTCAGACCAAGAAAAAGTCATATTTAGACACAAACAATGTCTTGTTTTAGTTTATATTTTAGTTCACCATTTCAGTGATTTCCTTTTCTCCCTGTATCTTGGGGAAATGATGTATGTGTTAATATTCTTCTCATAGAAGAAATATATATATATATATATATATATTGTTAAAAGAACATTAGATTATTGTTTTATGAAGTATAAAACATACACTCTTCAAATGGTGGCCTTTTCATCCACACAAAAAATTTGAAAGTCTTTGATTTCTTCAACGACTTGGCACTAGAGCAGGTGACAGGTTTTAAGCAATCCTGAGACCTGGAGATTAACTTGATGGAAAAATGTTTACTGAAGTTAAAGTCTAAAAGGCATGTAATTTAAGACTTTTAAAGAGCAGTTGATGTAACAGATAGCAAAGTAACCAAACTCTTTTCTGCTCTTTGACTTATGACAAACGACAATGTTTTTCTAGAACAAGAAAGAATTCAGACGAAGTTTTTCTCTGTAGTTGATTTAATTTCTTGATTATCTTAGATTACCACAAGTTTGACTAAATTTTTTCCTCTTTTCCCCTCTTCATTTTTTCTGGTTTTCAAACAGGAATGGACCGGTGAGCAAAACTGGAGTACACTGATGTTTCAGAAGATATTGACCCTGAGAAATTCGGCCTATGGGAAACAGCCGTGTCATATACTTGGCCTGATGGATTTAGCCAGGTATATGCCTTTTTTGTTTGTAGAAGTAGAAAATATATATATTGTATTACTTTATGCATGAGGAAAATTTCTGAAAGGGACTAATGTAATGCAAGGAGGAGTTCAATTTTCCTGTAATGAAATTCAACACCTGCCTGTCCAAATATTAGTATTAGTTGATGTTCGAGTGTTACTGAATCTATGGCTAAATTCAAAACTTATCATAGTGGTTATGCTGACTCTATGCCCCATTACATATACTGCCAAAATTATTAAAATTATGTTGTACTATTTGTTTTTCTTTTAATTGTGGTACAGATAGCACCCTATGATCAGCTGCAAAAAAGGCGGTTGGTCGATGTTCCTCAATGTACTCCAGTACAAGCGAGGTAATTCTTGTTGCAGTTGATTATTGTGTGGACGGCATCAGGCCTTGATGTAAAAGTTTCTCAGCTTCTCATCTCTACCACCACAGCTTGATGGTATCAAGTGATTTTTAAAGAAACTAGAACCTGACAGAAGCTTCAAATAGTTACCTAAATATTTTTTTGTTTATATTCCTCATCCTTTTGATTTTAAACATTCATGTATAAGAAATCCAATAGGAAAATTCTTAAAATAAATGCCATGTTTTACCAAGTTGTATTTACATGACACATATTCTACAACACTATCGAACTTTGCATCTAGATCATTTTGAATGCACCCGGCGTTTCTCAATTGCTTTCCTTCTTATCTTTCTTTGTGGGAACTAATATGAGTGTTCTTCAATCTCAGTTATACTCAAGCAATAAATCATTTGCAGATGGAGAGCTACGAATTAACCGTGCTGTGGTTCTTGTAGGGTTCCTATCAACATTAATAACGTTAGGAACCGTCCTCTAATTAGAAAACAATTTGGTACACCCGTTTAATCGCAATTTTGATACCATCATTTTGCTATCAAGATTTGTGAGTTTCATGTGAGAATATTCCACCTTCCATGTAAATGATAGATCCAATGACACAGGGTTTTTCTTAATTTTTTTCTGTAATTGAAGAAAAAGAAATAAATTAGGGTGGTTCAAGAATGTCAATGTCGATTGTGTTCAACCGTTGGGGACCTCGGGATCATTGGTGGCATCACCATACCACCTAGCTTTCAGCTTTCTTCACTTTTAGCTTTAATTACTTCGAACTAACTATTCAATGCTGGGGCTTCTCGAGCTGACTCATTTCATCCCACTTGATTATCTTCAAATTCAATGAATCTTCGGCAGCTTTATATAAAGTACATGATTTTTTTTTTTTTTTTTTTAATGATCGGTGTCCGTCTCAGCTTACTATGTTTTACTAATTTTTCAGGACCCTAGAACTATAGGGAATAGAACTTCTATGACCACCCTTAATAGGGGCCGTGGGGACTTGAACTTGAGAGATATATTAGATCCTCTATTTTCTTTTTCTAAGAGGACTAAACTTAGAATATTATGTTAATTCTTCTTTTGCTCTTTACTTGTGGTTAAACCCTAAAATGTAATGATAAAGAATTGATATGATATCATAAGGTTTATTTCATTTTATCACGTGAAAAGTAAATATTACTAAAACTCTTAAAAAGAAATCAATAACTCCCCTTAAAAATAACAAAATTATGATAAAACCCTTATCAGGGTATTTAATACAACGATCTGAGAAATAAATCCCGTATCGCAGTTCATTTTTATTTATTTTGATTTATTGAATTCATTTTTTACATTCACTTTTTGATCTATTTACAAATAAATGATAATACGTTTCGAAGTATTTTCTGAAACGTTTTTAACTATTAAGATTACTTGAAAAAAAAAAAAAAAAATTGTGAAAAACTTTAAAATGTTTATTCGTCCCGCACTGGTATCGGCAATTGAAGTGTGAAATGCTGAAGTCCAATAAAATGCTTTTCAAAAGCGTGGTCCTCGTGGACCACTAAGGTTAAAAATATGGTTTTTTTAAGCCTCATTTATTATTTAAATTTCAATAATCATAAAATCATTTTTAAAATACTATTTACAAATATATTTTATTTTTTTCCAAGACTGTCCCTCTTTTATTTCCTAAATCTCTTTGTTAACCCCACGACCTATTTTCTCTCTTGCATTAAATTTTAGGCGCTATTTAATAAATTGGAGTGACCAAAATTTGACAGTTTTGAATACCAAGTTACCAACCTTTAATTTCATTATTTCAAAAAGATTTCTTATATTTATGTATATATTTTTACCACTTTTTACATTACAACATTATGTATGATTTCAATAATGACTACCTTGTAAAACACTGTTTTATCATCTTTATTTTTGTGCTATATTTTCACTGACATTTTTAGATGATGTTAAAGGTATGTGGATAAGAAAGTCTTGACCATATATTCGACCGATCGCCATGTTGATCGTTTATCTTCAAATAGGTTGTTATCATAATTTACACAGCATAAACTTCATAACCTTTAGCACCGTCGAGAGGTCTGTACCTTTTTTATTATCAGACCAGATTCTCATACTACTATAACGGAGACGAAGTGAATCTCTTATTTTTCTCAAAAAAGATTTTAGAATCGATCTAGTCTCAAAGGATATCAATCATATTATAGACTAAATCATACAGATAGGACCTATAAAATGTAACTTGATGCTCCGAGAAGCATAAACATGGATCTGATAGAGTAACTTCTATAAAAAAACATGATGGACCAAATTATTTAAAATTATATTATTCCTTTGAGTAGAAGCATGATGAGTTGTGGGCCAACTCAATAGTTATGTGATCTAATCCTTATATATATCTGACGACAAGAGAGAAGTTATATGATACCTCAAGGATATCAAATTAGTTGTATCATTATGATATATATTTTTCAATTTAACAATTGTTAATCACATTAATTATATAAAGATAAATGAAAGAGAAAGAGTATAAATGATTTAAACAATTTGATTAAATATAGGGACTGGACCCATATATTCTACATATAATTTTTCCCAGGATAAACCTGTTTAATTTGTGGTGCTCATTTAATGCGTTGCTTCTCATAATTACATCTTAGACTTTAGTGTACATATATTTTTTTATTTAGATTCATTTTTAAATATTATTGAAAATAATATTTGATAAATTGATTAAAAGTATTTAAATTGCTTTTAGATTTTAAAAAAGGCTTATACTTTTTATTACCTAATTTTTTTTTTATAATAAATTATTAAAATTCTTTTTGGAACATTATAATATAATGTGAACCTCAAGGGGTTGGCCTGGTGATCAAATAAGGTTTGCTCCATTTATTAACTTGTTGGGTTCAACACCCTTTCACCTTGAGATCACTACATATTTGTGGTTTATCTAGAACTTAAGTTGTAAAATGTTTAATAGATCCTAATGATTAGTTGAGATATACGTAAACTTGTTTGTCTTTGTTCGAAATATATATATATATTAGTTGGAGTAGAGTTTATTTCTATCCAACTATTGTGATTTATTGTTTTAAGATATATATATATATAGTTGTGGAGTAGAGTTTTATTTCTATCCAACTATTGTGATTTTATTGTTTTAAGTATAAAATTTATAAGAGCTTCAAGAAGTAGTTAAATACTAAAGAAGATTTTAATAAGAAAAAAGACAATTAACAGGGAAATCTTTGATATTTGATAACTTCATAAATTTTGAGGTGTCCCAAAATACAACAAAAACTGTATAATATATGAAGATGCAAGGAGCCGTGAGATTATCTATTATTAATGGTTGCATTGGAATTGAATGGTCAACAAAATCTGTGGGGGATTTTGTTTGGTCAAAAGAATGGACGTCTTATTTTTGTTACCCACAAGCTATTATTCACTACCCCAATGGTTTTGCCGCCCATTTGCTCCGCGCACGACACTCACTACTCCACATGCCCATTGAAGAGCTATGGCCACCTGTCTTCCACTCTTTCTCAAATAAATTAACCCACCCCATAAGACGAATATCTTATCATATAATAAATAAACTAACAGAACCTGCCAAAACTTCACTTTTTACGAGGTCTTTGTTCTTCTGTTTCCTGGACTGATTCAACCCTCATTTATATAGAGATGTTAATGCTTATAAACTCAATTTGGCTAATCCTATTGTCTACATCTTGCTGGCGTCCACATTAAGAAATTAATGCTGGGGTCCTATCCTAATCTCTTAATTGAACACTCTAAGATATTGGTAAAATTTTATTGCAACTTAAACACAAATTCTTTATGTCATGCTTTTTTTCCAACCTTATAAATTTTAGAAAACAAAAAACAATAACATTTGTTTATTATGTGCTTGTCAGAGATTCGAATGTCAAACCTTATGAGAGCAAAAAATACTCGAATCTTTAACTTTTAAAAAGTAGAAAATAATAACCGTTAATTATGTAGGCACTGATAAGAGATTCCAAAACTAACTTTATTTGAGCAGAACAATAATAATTATAATGTAAGTAGTACATTCCTAATACATAAGATTATTGTTTGGTATGTTCGTAAGATGCTTTGCACTAATTAGGGTTAAAGTACGGATTAGGTTGGCCGCTAAGCTAATAAGTTATAATTGTGATATATCTTTTGCTTATTTAATTAGTATTTATCCTTTGATATAATTTTATGGAATAATTCGTCTGATGAAGCGGCCAAGAAAAAGCCAGAATCTGTCACGAGCGAAGATCAAGTAGCTCTGTAGCTTTCCTTTACCAGTTACCACAAGAAAATAATAATAATAAAATTTCCATTCTAAAAAAAAAAAAAAAATCCTTTTGAAAAGTTGATGGACCGTCAATTAAATCCAAAAAGTGTAACCATTGATCTAAGATTCTAAGTAAGTAAATAATTCCATTCCAGCCTTTGGGATTATTGTGACGTCACTGTGATGTAATCATTATGGCATGAGGAAATTACCGTATCTTCTTCTAAGCCAATATACATGTGCATCTTTCCAACTTTGTCACATCATTGAGTAAATTAAAATTATATTAGGCCTACATTTTTTAACATTTTTAAGTCAAAAACCATATTTTTTTTCTTATATAATTGAATTTACAAATAGTAAATTAGAAGGGCGATATGAGTTTATGTTTTGGTTAATAGCATCATTAAGGTAATTAATAAAGGTATTCATACGAAGGAAAAGATTGAAATAATCACTACTGAATGGCCTGATAAAAAAACAAAAAAAAGTTTTATAAATTTGAATTCTTACAATCCCTAATAAAAGTGATCATTTGGCTATCAATTTTAAACCTACTGATAAAAAGAAAATATGCAACATGTGATACGCAACGCCTCCAGCTGATAATTTTGAACATCGGCAAAAAGGATAATCTATTTGGTTCCACTGGAACCTAAAAGTTAACTTTTGAATTTTGTAAGGAAAGGATACCTGGTCAAATATGGTGGTTGTAAAATCAACTATCGGTGATTCAATAATGATGCTACTCCGTCTCCGACTAGTATTTTGATTCAAGCTTTTGGAATTTAACTATTTACATGAAGCGGAGACTGGAGAGAAACATTACATATAAAAAGAAAATTATTTGAAAACGTATGAAAATAAAATAATAATAAATAATTTTTATTTTTATTGATGGAGGCAATAACGTTATCCTCTCTCATAGTATTAGTCACAAATAATAAACAATTGGAAAATATAATAAAATTTATGTGATGGAAGGTGGGGGTGGTGGTGGGGTCAAAAGTCTGAAGAATAGCAGATAGTCATTAATGGAAGAAAAAGGTCGGAGTTGGCCTTATCTTTGCACAGAATTATTAAATATATAAATTTAAAACACCAAACGAAACAAGACAAAAGAATGCTTTTTGCGTATGAACACATCACCCTTTAGATGTCCCCCCTTCACGCCTCCATCCTTTTCTCGTGGTTGAGCTGTCTTCGTTATCTGCCCCACCCTCTACTGAACATAAACTCATATTGCCCTTTTATTTTACTATTTGCTTTGTGTAAAAACAGGATTGTAATAATAATATAAAGGGCAGTTAATTATTGCATTTCCGCATGCAGAATTACAAACAATTTTGGTCAGCTCGGCCTACGACTACGAGCAGCAGTTAGGGTGGTGGGCCTCTTTTATCAATATATCTCAAAAAGAATGAGTAAATGATCCCAACCGCCCCCAATAAATTTTTAATCTGCTTCCTACGTCTACTGTATCAGCCTGCAATTTGACTTATTCAACTCCTACCTTGGTGCCGAGATTGGCTCTTCATTAATTACTACCCAATCCAAGGAGGAGTAATTAACTCTTACCCTTTTGCCTCCCCTTTTTCCTTACCGTTTAATCCTCTAATTATGATTGGCAATTTGCGGCTTGATTGTTCATACTTCATATGCGCGTTTCACACCATTGACTCTTGTTTCTGTAAGTTGACCATAAACAATTGAGAAAAAAAAAAAAAAAATGCACATGGTAATAGGATAAGTTCTTTTTCAAGTTTTAAGTAAAAGAATATTAAAAAAATATATATAATTATAAGGAGTGTTTCAAGAGAAAATTATAAAATTATAAATATATCAATATAACAAAAAAATAGATCTTTTCATGGTTTTTATTTTTACTGTTAAAAACAAAAGAAACCCGATGATATCAATTATGAATTTTATTATAACAAATATAAAAGTCACCTTGATTTTTTTGGTATTTACTACTAAGGCTCTCTTGCTTTCTAATATATATAATGGAGACCATCCATTTACTACAAACCATTCTGAGTACAGCTCTCCCCAGCACTACATCTACCTTTTCCTGGTGCTTTAGTTTCCACTAAACATGGTGATGCAAGAACAAGGTCTCTCAGTGGCCCTGAACGCAAAAGTCATCGGCTCCGGCACTGAACCCATGATTCTTGCACATGGGTTTGGGGTAGACCAATCTATCTGGGACAAAATCACTCCCTTTTTGGCTCAGCATTACAAGATTATAGTTTTCGACTGGCCCTTCTCAGGATCTGTTAAAGATCCAAACCTTTACGATCCTGTCAAGTACTCTTCGTATGACGCTTTTGCCAACGATTTGATTACTCTTTTGGACGGAAATTGTATAAAATCATCAGTTTTTATGGGCCACTCCATGTCTGGTATGATTGGATGCATTGCTTCTACGAAAAGGCCAGACCTATTTAAGAAGCTCATACTCATTGGAGCTTCTCCCAGGTATATCTTCAACCTAGATAAAGCAGAAAAGTTCACCTCAGTTATCTTACTTTTACATGCAAGCTTAACTTTTGTTTTTTTTTTCTTTTTTTGGTTTTGGTTTTGGCTTTGGCTTTGGCTTTCTTCTTCTTCTTCTTTTTTTAATGGTGATTATCCTTGTTTAAAGCATCAGCAGTTATGCGTACCCAAGTTAATCAATCTAACCGCAACTTTGTATGCTAAGTTTTTATACTAAGTTTGCTGAGACTTTATTGGAAAGAATTTTTTTTCTTATTTTCTTTAAAAATAAATTCCCTGATACGTTTTTTACTAACTTCCTCAATTTTAATTTTTACACTCCGATTTTTCTTTTTTAATGTTTTTTTCTTACTTGGTTCCATTATTTTTCATAGAATATTTCTGGTGATAAGCCAAGCTGGAGCATTTGATGCTAAAATAGATATATATGGAGTGATGTAGTAGGTAACTTGAACTAAAACAGCTTTGATATAAAGCATGTGATTTTCTTTAGTTATTTCGATCTCAAACGTGTGGTGGTGATGGGAGACTCAGTTTAAGATATATATATTGGCGTGTTCTTGAATCCTAATCTCGTTCACTTCAATTGTGTGGCTCATGAATCTTCTCAAAACTATATATTTTTCTGTGTCCTCAATAATTTCAGCTGCTTCAGCACAAACGCAAACAACCTTTAGATGGGATCGATAGTAGCTTAAGCTAAGACTTTTGTCTCTTTAGCTTAAACTACTTGCGATTAATAAATAATAACTTGTTCACTAAAAATTCCACAAAATACTGAAGTACCAGTGAAGCCGGCCGAAAGACATTAATAATGGGTCCAATTTTATGTCTTTCTGTTGTCTCTATAGGGCTTAGATAGTTAGGTTAATAGTTATTAATTTGTTGCCAACAAGAAAAGTTATAAATTAAATTTCATTCTCATATTAATATTATATAGGTACATAAACACGGATGATTACGAAGGAGGGTTTAGCAGCTCAGGGATTGAGGAAATCATTTCAAACGTGGAAACCGACTATCTCAGCTGGGCTTCAAACTTTGCTTCTCTTGTTGTGGACTCAAAAGATCCCCTCTCGGTTGAGAAGCTTCAGAAATGTTTGAGTTCAATGAGACCTGAAGTTGCATTACCCTTGGCCAAAACCGTGTTTTACAGTGACGAAAGGGAAATTCTGGATAAAGTTATTACTCCATGCACAATCATCCAAACTACTAGTGACATTGTTGTTCCAAACTCGGTTGCTCACTACATGCAAGAGAAGATTAAGGGAAAATCAACTGTGGAGATGATAGAGACTAATGGACATTTCCCACAGCTCACTGCTCACCAGCAGCTTGTTCAAGTCCTTGGAGGAGTGTTAGGGTTTTGATCTTTGATCGATCTTAAGAAGATATAATATGATATATACACATATCTATCTCGTTTTTCTTTGTCTGCTTATTTAAGAGAAATAAGTCGCTAAATATTTGCCTTTAGTTTGTTGTGTTCTTAACTTGATAGGAACTATATTTTGAAGGATGGGATGTAGAATGTGTTTTGTGTAGTAAATTTTAGTTGGAATTTAATAATATGCAGCAGCGTGGTTGGAAGTCGTTTATCATCTCTCTTGAGTTGATACTTGGAATTAATTCAAGGTAGTGTCATTGATATATAGCTGGATGGTATATACGTGCAATTACTCGATCGGCGGCCAGCTCAAACTAAGAATCACTACCCATGATGGAAATAACATATTCCCAAAAGTTTTTCATTTAGACACTTGCCATTGAAGGAGATGCTGCATATCTCAAAGTTGAGATCCATGAATTAGAGACATAGGAAACTAATATATACAAAACCTTTTTTTAGGTTAATTTCATATAAAATATATATAGTCTGCTAGATCCGGGTCAGGCTTTGGACTTCAAACCGTATACGTTTTCTTTCTTCGTAGAAAAATAAAAATTAAATAAAATCAATTATATATAATCACATCCAATAATCCAAAGGATAGCATATCAACTTTTAAGCCGTCCTGTAGAAGTAGAACCCATTAATTGCGTTATATTCCAGTCCAGTTCAGTCTATAGTTTGATTAATGAATACATGCTTTCCAGGCGATTTTTTCTTAAACATGCATGCTGAAATTAGAGAACCAATGTGAGTTTACTTGTGGATAGAGTAATAACTACTCTTTCTAGAATATATCCAAAAAAGTCACATCCGAAATGATGTGTTATCCTTTGCGGTATTAACACATCATTTATCGTATCATCACTATATACGATTACACGTTTCACTTAAAGTTTTTTGGGATATCATTTGGAGATGGGTAGCATTAACCTTGTGGATATATATATAATCATTTTTGTTGTTCAGGTCGATTTGTATGCACCTCAATTAATCTCTGAACCTTAGAATTGTCAACTGAGTAAAAACCCTAGTGACCATCCTTATTAGTACTTAGGGGGATTCAAACTCAGAAGTTTATAAAACCTCTTTTTGTTCTTTTATCATCAAACCATCCAGTTGTGGTTAACCTTGTGGATATTTAACACTATCAAATGGTTAACTCTATCCACTAAGATTATTTTCACACTATATATTTAAGTTAAAATCTGTAATACCTATAGATACTAAAATCTATGGTCACGAAAAGAGGGTCTATCATGTGACGTTGAGGCCATATACAATCCATTGTACCTGCATACAAAGTAAACAAGCGGGAAACTTACGTAAACACCGGTGTGGTGTCTGTCATAAACACTCTAACGCTCAAGTCAATAAGGTTGAATGAGGAAATTTAGTGAGGGTTAAGGGAATGAAGGGTTACCGGCAGTTTAGTCGGAGATTAGAACCACAGTGTAGGTGTATAATTCTTAGAAGTCAAAGTTTGGGTGCAAGTAAGTGGTATTGAGATTGAATGCCTAAACATATGAGTGACTCTTGTTTATATAGTAGTTGTAGGATCTTCGTATCCTAGGACTTTGAATCCATAATGGTAGAAGTTTAGTGAATAGAAAAGATCCTCATTTACTTGTTATTGTGTGGACGGCATCAGGCCTTGATGTAAAAGTTTCTCAGCTTCTCATCTCTACCACCACGCTTGATGGTATCAAGTGATTTTTAAAGAAACTAGAACCTGACAGAAGCTTCAAATAGTTACCTAAATATTTTTTTGTTTATATTCCTCATCCTTTTGATTTTAAACATTATGTATAAGAAATCCAATAGGTGAAAATTCTTAAAATAAATGCCATGTTTTACCAAGTTGTATTTACATGACACATATTCTACAACACTATCGAACTTTGCATCTAGATCATTTTGAATGCACCCGGCGTTTCTCAATTGCTTTCCTTCTTATCTTTCTTTGTGGGAACTAATATGAGTGTTCTTCAATCTCAGTTATACTCAAGCAATAAATCATTTGCAGATGGAGAGCTACGAATTAACCGTGCTGTGGTTCTTGTAGGGTTCCTATCAACATTAATAACGTTAGGAACCGTCCTCTAATTCAGAAAACAATTTGGTACACCCGTTTAATCGCAGATTTTTGATACCATCATTATTGCTATCAAGATTTGTGAAGTTTCATGTGAGAATATTCCACCTTCCATGTAAATGATAGATCCAATGACACAGGGTTTTTCTTAATTTTTTTCTGTAATTGAAGAAAAGAAATAAATTAGGGTGGTTCAAGAATGTCAATGTCGATTGTGTTCAACCGTTGGGGACCTCGGGATCATTGGTGGCATCACCATACCACCTAGCTTTCAGCTTTCTTCACATTTTAGCTTTAATTACTTCGAACTAACTATTCAATGCTGGGGCTTCTCGAGCTGACTCATTTCATCCCACTTGATTATCTTCAAATTCAATGAATCTTCGGCAGCTTTATATAAAGTACATGATTTTTTTTTTTTTTTTTTTAATGATCGGTTGTCCGTCTCAGCTTACTATGTTTTAGCTAATTTTTCAGGACCCTAGAACTATAGGGAATAGAACTTCTATGACCACCCTTATAGGGGCCGTGGGGGCTTGAACTTGAGAGATATATTAGATCCTCTATTTTCTTTTTCTAAGAGGATCAAACTTAGAATATTATGTTAGATTCTTCTTTTGCTCTTTACTTGTGGTTAAACCCTAAAATGTAATGATAAAGAATTGATATGATATCATAAGGTTTATTTCATTTTATCACGTGAAAGAGTAAATATTACTAAAACTCTTAAAAAGAAATCAATAACTCCCCTTAAAAATATTACAAAATTATGATAAAACCCTTATCAGGGTATTTAATACAACGATCTGAGAAATAAATCCCGTATCGCAGTTCATTTTTATTTATTTTGATTTATTGAATTCATTTTTTACATTCACTTTTTGATCTATTTACAAATAAATGATAATACGTTTCGAAGTATTTTCTGAAACGTTTTTAACTATTAAGATTACTTGAAAAAAAAAAAAAAAAATTGTGAAAAACTTTAAAATGTTTATTCGTCCCGCACTGGTATCGGCAATTGAAGTGTGAAATGCTGAAGTCCAATAAAATGCTTTTCAAAAGCGTGGTCCTCGTGGACCACTAAAGGTTAAAAATATGGTTTTTTTAAGCCTCATTTATTATTTAAATTTCAATAATCATAAAATCATTTTTAAAATACTATTTACAATATATTTTATTTTTTTCCAAGACTGTCCCTCTTTTATTTCCTAAATCTCTTTGTTAACCCCACGACCTATTTTCTCTCTTGCATTAAATTTTAGGCGCTATTTAATAAATTGGAGTGACCAAAATTTGACAGTTTTGAATACCAAGTTACCAACCTTTAATTTCATTATTTCAAAAAGATTTCTTAATTTATGTATATATTTTTACCACTTTTTACATTACAACATTATGTATGATTTCAATAATGACTACCTTGTAAAACACTGTTTTATCATCATTTATATTTTGTGCTATATTTTCACTGACATTTTTAGATGATGTTAAAGGTATGTGGATAAGAAAGTCTTGACCATATATTCGACCGATCGCCATGTTGATCGTTTATCTTCAAATAGGTTGTTATCATAATTTTACACAGCATAAACTTCATAACCTTCTAGCACCGTCGAGAGGTCTGTACCTTTTTTATTATCAGAGCCAGATTCTCATACTACTATAATCGGAGACGAAGTGAATCATCTTATTTTTCTCAAAAAAGATTTTAGAATCGATCTAGTCTCAAAGGATATCAATCATATTATAGACTAAATCATACAGATAGGACCTATAAAATGTAACTTGATGCTCGAGAAGCATAACTATGGATCTGATAGAGAACTTCTATTAAAAAAACATGATGGACCAAATTATTTAAAATTATATTATTCCTTTGAGTAGAAGCATGATGAGTTGTGGGCCAAGCTCAATGTTTATGTGATCTAATCCTTATATAATCTGACGACAAGAGAGAAGTTATATGATACCTCAAGGATATCAAATTAGTTGTATCATTATGATATATATTTTTCAATTTAACAATTGTTAATCACATTAATTATATAAAGATAAATGAAAGAGAAAAGTCATAAATGATTTAAACAATTTGATTAAATATAGGGACTGGTACCCATATATTCTACATATAATTTTTTCCCAGGATAAACCTGTTTAATATTGTGGTGCTCATTTAATTGCGTTGCTTTCTCATAATTACATCTTAGACTTTAGTGTACATATATTTTATTTATTTAGATTCATTTTTAAATATTATTGAAATAATATTTGATAAATTGATTAAAAGTATTTAAATTGCTTTTAGATTTTAAAAAAGGCTTATACTTTTTATTACCTAATTTTTTTTTTATAATAAATTATTAAAATTCTTTTTGGAACATTATAATATAATTGTGAACCTCAAGGGTTGGCCTGGTGATCAAATAAGGTTTGCTCCATTTATTAACTTGTTGGGTTCAACACCCTTTCACCTTGAGATCACTACATATTTGTGGTTTATCTAGAATTAAGTTGTAAAATGTTTAATAGATCTAATGATTAGTTGAGATATACGTAAACTTGTTTGTCTTTGTTCGAAATATATATATATATTAGTTGAGTAAGTTTATTTCTATCCAACTATTGTGATTTATTTGTTTTAAGATATATATATATATAGTTGTGGAGTAGAGTTTTATTTCTATCCACTATTGTGATTTTATTGTTTTAAGTATAAAATTTATAAGAGCTTCAAGAGTAGTTAAATACTAAAGAAGATTTTAATAAGAAAAAAGACAATTAACAGGGAAATCTTTGATATTTGATAACTTCATAAATTTTGAGGTGTCCCAAAATACAACAAAACTGTATAATATATGAAGATGCAAGGAGCCGTGAGATTATCTATTATTAATGGTTGCATTGAATTGAATGGTCAACAAAATCTGTGGGGGATTTTGTTTGGTCAAAAGAATGGACGTCTTATTTTTGTTACCCACAAGCTATTATTCACTACCCAATGGTTTTGCCGCCCATTTGCTCCGCGCACGACACTCACTACTCCACATGCCCATTGAAGAGCTATGGCCACCTGTCTTCCACTCTTTCTCAAATAAATTAACCCACCCCATAAAGACGAATATCTTATCATTATAATAAATAAACTAACAGAACCTGCCAAAACTTCACTTTTTACGAGGTCTTTGTTCTTCTGTTTCCTGGACTGATTCAACCCTCATTTATATAGAGATGTTAATGCTTATAAACTCAATTTGGCTAATCCTATTGTCTACATCTTGCTGGCGTCCACATTAAGAAATTAATGCACTGGGGTCCTATCCTAATCTCTTAATTGAACACTCTAAGATATTGGTAAAATTTTATTGCAACTTAAACACAAATTCTTTATGTCATGCTTTTTTTCCAACCTTATAAATTTTAGAAAACAAAAAACAATAACATTTGTTTATTATGTGCTTGTCAGAGATTCGAATGTCAAACCTATGAGAGCAAAAAATACTCGAATATTTAACTTTTAAAAAGTAGAAAATAATAACCGTTAATTATGTAGGCACTGATAAGAGATTCCAAAACTAAACTTTATTTGAGCAGAACAATAATAATTATAATGTAAGTAGTACATTCCTAATACATAAGATTATTGTTTGGTATGTTCGTAAGATGCTTTGCACAATTAGGGTTAAAGTACGGATTAGGTTGGCCGCTAAGCTAATAAGTTATAATTGTGATATATCTTTTGCTTATTTAATTAGTATTTATCCTTTATATAATTTTAGGAATAATCTCTGATGAAGCGGCCAGAAAAAGCCAGAATCTGTCACGAGCGAAGATCAAGTGCTCTGTAGCTTTCCTTTACCAGTTACCACAAGAAATAATAATAATAAATTTCCATTCTAAAAAAAAAAAATCCTTTTGAAAAATTGATGGACCGTCGTTAAATCCAATAAGTGTAACCATTGTCTAAGATTCTCAGTAAGTAAATAATTCCATTCCAGCCTTTGATTATTGTGACGTCACTGTGATGTAACATATTTCATGAGGAAATTACCGTATCTTCTTCTAAGCCAATAACATGTGCATCTTTCCACCTTTGTCACACCATTGAGTAAATTAAAATTATATTAGGCCTCATTTTTTAACATTTTAAGCCAAAAACCATATTTTTTTCTTATATATTGAATTTACAAATAGTAAATTAGAAGGGCGATATGAGTTTATGTTTTGGTTAATAGCATCATTAGGTAATTTAATAAGGTATTCATACGAGGAAAGATTGAAATAACACTACTGAATGGCCTTAAAAAAAACAAAAAAAGTTTATAAATTTGAATTCTACAATCCCTAATAAAGTGTCATTTGGCTATCAATTTTAAACCTACTGATAAAAGAAAATTGCAACATGTGATACGCAACGCACTAGCTGATAATTTTGAAAATCGGCAAAAAGATAATCTGTTTGTTCCACTGCAACCTAAAAGTTAACTTTTGAATTTTGTAGGGAAGGGTAAGGATACCTGGTCAAATATGGTCGTTGAAAAATCAACTATTGGTGATTCAATATGATGCTACTCCGTCTCCGACTAGTATTTGATTCAAGCTTTTGGAATTTAACCATTTACATGAAGCGGAGACGGGAGAGAAACATATACTAAAAAGAAAATATTTGAAAACGGATAAAAAAAATAATAATAAATATTTTTATTTTTATGATGGAGGCAATAACGTTATCCTCTCTAATAGTATTGTCATAAATAATAAATATTGGAAATATAATAAAATTATGTGATGGGAGTGGGGGTGGGGGTGGGGTCAAAGTCTGAACAATAGCAGATAGTCATTAATGGAAGAAAAAGGTAAAGTTGGCCTTATTTTGCACAGAATTATTAATATATAAATTTAAAACACCAAACCAAACAGACAAAAGAATGCTTTTTGCGTATGAACACATCACCGTTAGATGTCCCCCCTTCACGCCTCCATCCTTTTCTCGTGGTTGAGCTGTCTTCTTATCTGCCCCACCCTCTACTGAATATAAACTCATATTGCCCTTTTAATTACATTTGCTTTGTGTAAAAACAGATTGTATATAATATAAAGGGCTGTTAATTATTGCATTTCCGCATGCAGAATTACAAACAATTTTGGTCAGCTCGGCCTACGACTACGACAGCAGTTAGGGTGGTGGGCCTCTTTTATCAATATATCTCAAAAAGAATGAGTAAATGATCCCAACCGCCCCAATAAATTTTTAATCTGCTTCCTACGTCTACATGTATCAGCCTGCAATTTGACTTATTCAACTCCTACCTTGGTGCCGAGATTGGCTCTTCATTAATACATACCCAATCCAAGGAGGAGTAATTAATTAACTCACCCTTTGCCTCTCCTTTTTCCTTACCGTTTAATCCTCTAATTATGATTGGCAATTTGCGGCTTGATTGTTCATACTTCATTGCGCGTTTCACACCATTGACTCTTGTTTCTGTAAGTTGACCATAACAATTGAGGAAATATAAAATACACGTGTAATAGGATAAGTTCTTTTTCAGTAAAAAATATAAAAAAAAAAATATATAATTATAAGGAGTGTTTCAAGAGAAATTATAAATTATAATTATCAATATAACAAAAAATAGACTTTTCATGGTTTTTTATTTTTACTGTTAAAACAAGGAAACCCGATGAATACATTATGAATTTTATCATAACAAATAAAGTCACCTTGATTTCTTTGGTATTACTACTAAGGCTCTCTTGCTTTCTAATTATATAAATAGCCATCCATTTACTACAAACCATTCTGAGTACAGCTCTCCCCAGCACTACATCTACCTTTTCCTGGTACTTAGTTTTCCACTAAACATGGTGATGCAGAACAAGGTCTCTCAGTGGCCCTGAACGCAAAAGTCATCGGCTCCGGCACTGAACCCATGATTCTTGCACATGGGTTTGGGGAGACCAATCTATCTGGGACAAAATCACTCCCTTTTTGGCTCAGCATTACAAGATTATAGTTTCGACTGGCCCTTCTCAGGATCTGTCAAGATCCAAACCTTTACGATCCTGTCAAGTACTCTTCGTATGACGCTTTTGCCAACGATTTGATTACTCTTTTGGACGAAATTGTATAAAATCATCAGTTTTTATCGGCCACTCCAGTCTGGTATGATTGGATGCATGCTTCTACGAAAAGGCCAGACCTATTTAAGAAGCCATACTCATTGGGCTTCTCCCAGGTATATCTTCAACCTAGATAAAGCAGAAAAGTTCACCTCAGTTATCTTACTTTTACATGCAAGCTTAACTTTTGTTTTTTTTTCTTTTTTTGGTTTTGGTTTGGCTTTGGCTTGCTTCTTCTTCTTCTTCTTTTTTTAATGGTGATTATCCTTTTTTAAAGCATCAGCAGTTAGTGCTTACCCAGTTAATCAATCTAACCGCAACTTTGTATGCTAAGTTTTTATACTTTGCTGAGACTTTATTGGAAAGAATTTTTTTTTATTTTTTCTTTAAAAATAAATTCCCTGATACGTTTTTTACTAACTTCCTCAATTTTAATTTTTACACTCCGATTTTCTTTTTAATGTTTTTTTTCTACTTGGTTCCATTATTTTTCATAGAATTTCTGGTGATAAGCCAAGCTGGAGCTTTGATGCTAAAATAGATATATATGGGTGATGTAGTAGGTAACTTGAACTAAAACAGCTTTGATATAAGCATGTGATGTTCTCTAGTTATTTCGATCTCAAACGTGTGAGTGTGATAAGTGCTTATCCTTTGAAACCTACTCTGTCAGATGAACTATAATCCCAGGAAAATTCTGCCTAAAAATTCTTGTTATTTTTCCTTTCATTTGAATTATTCATTTCGTTTGGCCCTGTTGTAACTAGATTATTTTAATTAAATACGTATTTCTAAATTATATAAATGAAGTAAACTTATACTTAACGGTATAGTCCTCAAGTTTTACTATCATATTTTATGCCTTGGGACATGGATATTCTGTACTCCATTATGAATCAATAAAGTCTTTCTCATTACATTTATTTTTGTAGCTATCTGCTTCTGGAGATAGTGGAATGCCTGAAGTGGTGGCTGATCCTCTAGGTGAAGTTGCAACAACATTTCAGGACCTTGGAGTTTGTGTGGTACAGCAGTGTGCCAGGATTCGCCAACAAGGTATCTATCTCTTTTCCATGCTCTTATGAATATGTTCCATATAAGTTGGTGAGTTAATGAAAAGAAAGCTTCCACTCTTTGTGCACATATTACCTAGAACTTAATACTCTTACAATCACCTCTGGACCATTCATTTTGATTTTCTGGAGTTTTTATTCAAAACTTCCAAGTTACTTTAGGTGGAAATAAATAGTTTCTTTTGTTGTTGTCTTTCCTTAGTGTCAACAGCTGTTTCCTACGATAAATCAGTCAAGGCAATCAGGGTTAAAGTACCAAATTCAGATGAAGAGTTCTTTCTGCATCCTGCAACTGTGAGAAGAAATGATCGTTCTGCCCAAAGTGTGGTATATGTGGATTTATTTTGAACAGTTCATACTTTTTATTGGTATTTAGTAGCTAGGCCTTTAATTTTTAATCTATAATACCCAAATTTAATTGTGATAGGGGCATATAAACAATATAACCTGACTTAGCTCACTGAAATGGTGTTACCATTCTGCTCAAGAATAGTCAATAGATTCCAAAATAAGATGTTATACTGCAGTGTGCTTATAAGTGCCACTGATAAAGCTATATCTTGCATGCACCATTAGAAACGGTGTTCCCAAAACTCATATTTCCAAAGCGAAAACATGACACTAAGAACAGTCCTTTTTTCGGTTCCTTATTCAGAGTGATGGACAGTATTCTTACCTCACGTGTTTTTTTTTCAATTCACATGAATTATTGGTAATTCTTAGAGAGAGAGATAGAGAGAGAGAAACATGGGTGTAACTTTCTTACTAACTCATACTTTTGGTGGAGGGGGATGTGCTCATTGTACAAAAGTCTTGGTAGGTAAGGAAATTGCATGAAAAAATTTCTTTTCACAGTAAAAATCATCTATAAAGATCCATTAATGGATCTTGAAAGTGATTTGTCAGACCAAGAAAAAATCATATTTAGAACAAAACAATGTCTTGTTTTAGTTTATATTTTAGTTCACCATTTCAGTGATTTTCCTTTTTCCTCCCTGTATCTTGGGGAAATGATTTGTATGTGTTAATATTCTTCTCATAGGAAGAAATATATATATATATATATATAATTGTTAAAAGAACATATAGATTATTTGTTTATGAAGTATAAAACATACACTCTTCAAATGGTGGCCGTTTCATCCACACAAAAGAATTTGAAAGTCTTTGATTTCTTCAAACGACTTGGCACTAGAGCAGTGACAGGTTTTAAAGCAATCCTGAGACTCTGGAGATTAACTTGATGGAAAAATGTATTAGCTGAAGTTAAAGTCTAAAAGGCATGTAATTTAAGACTTTTAAGAGAAAGCAGTTGATGTAACAGATAGCAGAAGTAACCAAACTCTTTTCTGGCTCCTTTGACTTATGACAAACAGACAAAATGTTACTTTCTAGGAACAAGAAAGAATTCAGACGAAGTTTTTCTCTGTAGTTGATTTAATTGTTCTGATGATTATCTTAGATTATCCACAAGTTTGACTAAATTTTTTCCTCTTTTCCCCTCTTCATTTTTTCTGGTTTTCAAACAGGATGAATGGACCGGTGAGCAAAAGCTGGAGTACACTGATGTTTCAGAAGATATTGAACCTGAAGAAATTCGGCCTATGGGAAACTATGCCGTGTCAATTACTTGGCCTGATGGATTTAGCCAGGTAATATGCCTTATTTTGTTTGTAAGAAAGTAGAAAATTATATGATTGTATTACTTTTATGCATGAGGAAAATTTCTGAAAGGGACTAATGTAATGCAAGGAGAGTAGTCAATTTTCCTGTAATGAAATTCAACACCTGCCTGTCCAAATATTAGTATTAGTTCGATGTTTCGAGTGTTACTGAATCTATGGCTAAATTCAAAACTTATCATAGTGATGTTATGCTGACTCTATGCCACATTTACATGATACTGCCAAAAATGTATTAAAATTATGTTGTAACTATTTGTTTTTCTTTTAATTGTGGTACAGATAGCACCCTATGATCAGCTGCAAACAATAGAGCGGTTGGTCGATGTTCCTCAATGTACTCCAGTACAAGCATGAGGTAATTCTTGTTGCAGTTGATTATTGTGTGGACGGCATCAGTGCCTTGATGTAAAAGTTTCTCAGCTTCTCATCTCTACCACCACAGCTTGATGGTATCAAGTGATTTTTAAAAGAAACTAGAACCTGACAGAAGCTTCAAATAGTTACCTAAATAGTTTTTGTTTATATTCCTCATCCTTTTGATTTTAAACATTCATGTATAAGAAATCCAATAGTGAAAATTCTTACAAATAAATGCCATGTTTTACCAAGTTGTAATTTACATTGACACGATATTCAGTCAACACTATCGAACTATGCATCTAAGGATCATTTTGAATGCAGACCCGGCGTTTCTCAATTGCTTTCCTTCTTTATCTTTTCTTTGTGGAAGAACTAATATGAGTGTTCTTCAATCTCAGTTATACTCAAAGCAATAAATCATTTGCAGATGGAGAGCTACGAATTAACCGTGCTGTGGTTCTTGTGCAGGGTTCCTATCAATATTAATAACGTTAGGAACCGTCCTCTTAATTACAGAAAACAATTTGGTACACCCGTTTAATCGCAGATTTTTGATACCATCATTATTACTATCTAAGATTTGTGAAGTTTCATGTGAGAATATTCCACCTTCCATGATAAATGATAGATCACAATGACACAGGGTTTTTCTTAATTTTTTTCTGTAATTGAAGAAAAAGAAATAAATTAGGGTGGTTCAAGAAAGTGTCAATGTCGATTGTGTTCAACCGTTGGGGGACCTCGGGATCATTGGTGGCATCACCATACCACCTAGCTTTCAGCTTTCTTCAACCTTTTAGCTTTAATTACTTCGAACTAACTATTCAATGCTGGGGCTTCTCGAGCTGACTCATTCATTCTCCCACTTGATTATCTTCAAATTCAATGAATCTTCGGCAGCTTTATTATAAAGTACATGATTTTTTTTATTTTTTTTTTTTAATGATCGGGTGTCCGGCTCAGCTTACGTATGTTTAAGCTAATTTTTCAGGACCTAGAACTATAGGGAATAAGAACTTCTTGACCACCCTTAATGGGGCCTGGGGGCTTGAACTTGAGGAATATATTAGACTCTTATTATTCTTTATCATAAGAGGACTCAAACTTAGAATATTATTTTAGATCTTCTTTTGCTCTTTTACTGTGGTTAAACCCAAAATGTAATGAAAAAGAATTGATATGATATCATAAGGGTTTATTTCATTTTATCACGTGAAAGAGTAATATTACTAAAACTCTTAAAAAAGAATCAATAACTCCCCTTAAAAATATTACAAATTATGATAAAACCCTTATCAGGGTATTTAATACAAGCGATCTGAGAAAATAAATCCCGTATCGAGTTCATTTTTATTTATTTTAGATTTATTGAATTCATTTTTACATTCACTTTTTGATCTATTTACGAAATAATGATAAACGTTTCGAAGTATTTTCTGAAAACGTTTTTAACTATTAAATTACTTGAGAAAAAAAAAAAAAAAATTGTGAAAACTTTAAAATTTTATTCGTCACGCAACTGGTATCGGCAATTGAAGTTGAATGCTGAAGTCCAATAAAATGCTTTTAAAAGGCGTGGTCCTCGTGGACCACTAAAAGGTTAAAAATATGGTTTTATTTAAGCCTCATTATTATTAAATTTCAATAATCATTAAAATCATTTTTAAAATACTATTTACAAATATATTTTATTTTTTTCCAAGACTGTCCCTCTTTTATTTCCTAAATCTCTTTGTTAACCACGACCTATTTTCTCTCTTGCATTAAATTTTAGGCGCTATTTAATAAATTGGAGTGACCAAAATTTGACAGTTTTGAATACCAATTACCAACTCTTTAATTTCATTATTTTCAAAAAGATTTCTTATATTTATGTATATATTTTACCACTTTTTACATTACAACATATGTATATTTCAATAATGTACATACCTTGTAAACACTGTTTTTCATCATTTTATATTTGTGCTACTATTTTCACTACATTTTTTAGATGATGTTAAAGGTATGTGGATAAAGAGAAGTCTTGACCATATATTCGACCGATCGCCATGTTGATCGGTTATCTATCTTCAAATAGGTTGATTATCATAATTTACACATGCATAAACTTCATAACCTTTTAGCACCGTCGACGAGGTCTGTACCTTTTTTAGTATCAGAGCCAGATTCTCATACTACATAATCGAGAAGACGAAGTGAATCATCTTATTTTTCTCAAAAAGATTTTAGAATCGATCTAGTCTAAAAGGATATCAATCATATTATAGACAATCATACAGATAGGACCTAAAATGTAACTTGATGCTACGAGAAGCATAAACTATGGATCTGATAGAGTAACTCATTAAAAACATGATGGACCAAATTATTAAATATATATTATTCCTTTGAGTAGAACATGATGAGTTGTGGAGCCAAGCTCAAGTAGTTATGTGATCTAATCCTTATATAATGCTGACGACAAGAGAGAAGTTAATGATCCCTCAAGGATATCAAATTAGTTGTATCATAATGATATATATTTTCAATTTAACATTGTTAATCACATTAATTATATAAAGATAAATAAAGAGAAAAGATTATAAATGATTTAAACAATTTGATTAAGATAAGGACATGGTACCCATATATTCTACGTATAATTTATTTCCCAGGATAAACCTGTTATATTGTGGTGCTCAAATTTAATTGCGTTGCTTTCTCATAAATTACATCTTAGACTTTATGTACATATAGTTTATTTTTTAGATTCATTTTTAATATTATGAAAAAATATTTGATAAATTGTTAAAAAGTATTTAAATTGCTTTTAGATTTTAAAAAAGGCTTATACTTTTTATTAAACTATTTTTTTTTTTTATAATAATTTAAAATTCTTAATTTGGAAGCATTATAATATAATGTGAACCTCAAGGGTTTGGCCTGGTGATCAAATAAGGTTTGCTCCATTTATTAACTGTTGGGTTCAAACCACCTTTCACCTTGAGCTCTACAAATTTGTGGTTTATCTAAACATTAAGTTTGTAAAATGTTAATAGATCCTATGATTAGTTGAGATATAACGTAAACTTGTTGTCTTGTTCGAATATATTATATATATTGTGGAGTAGAGTTTTATTTCTATCCAACTATTGTATTTTATTGTTTAGATTATATATATATATTAGTTGTGGAGTAGAGTTTTTTTCTATCCACTATTGGATTTTATTGTTTTAAGTATAAAAATTAAGAGCTTCAAGAAGTATTAAATTACTAAAGAAGATTTTAATAAGAAAAAGACAATTAACTGGGAATATCTTTGATATTTGATAACTTCATAAATTTGGAGGTGCCCCAAAATACGAACAAAAACTGTATAAATAGATAATGCAAGGAGCCGTGAGAATGTATCTTATTATTAATGGTTGCATTGGAATTGAATGGTCAACAAATCTGTGGGGAATTTTGTTTGGTCAAAAGAATGGACGTCTTATTTTTTGTTACCCACAAGCTATTATCACTACCCCATGGTTTGCCGACCATTTGCTCCGCAGCCCGCACTCACTACTTCACATGCCCATTGAAGAGCTATGCCACCTGTCTTCCACTCTTCTCTCAAATAAATTAACCCACCACATAAACGAATATCTTATTCATATAATAAATAAACTAAAACAAAAACCTGCCAAAACTTCACTTTTTACGAGGTCTTTGTTCTTCTTGTTTCCTGGACTGATATACCCTCATTTTTATATAGAGATGTTAATGCTTATAAACTCAATTGGCTATCCTATTGTCTACATCTTGGCTGCGTCCACATTAAGAATTAATGCAACTGGGTCCTATCCTAATCTTCTTATTGAACACTCTAAGATATTGGTAAAATTTTATTGCAACTTAAACACAAATTCTTTATGTCATGCTTTTGTTCCAACCTTATAAATTTAGAAAACAAAAAACATAAACATTTGTTATTTATTGGCTTGTCAAGGATTCGAATGTCAAACCTTTGAGAGCAAAAATACTCGAATCATTTAACTTTTAGAAAGTAGAAAATAATAACCGTTAATTATGTAGGCACTGATGAAGAGATTCCAAAACTAAACTTTATTTGAGCAGAACAATATAATTATAATGTAGTAGATACATTCCTAATAAATAAGATTTATTGTTTGGTTGTCGTAAATGCTTTGCACAAATTAGGGTTAAAAGTACGGATTAGGTTGGCCGCTAAGCTATATAGTTATAATTGTGATATATTCTTTTGCTATTTAATTAGTATTTATCCTTTGATATAATTTTTATGGAATAATCTTCTGATGAAGCGGCCAAGAAAAAGCCAGAATCTGTCACGAGCGAAGATCAAGTAGCTCTGTAGCTTTCCTTTACCAGTTACCACAAGAAAATAATATAATAAAATTTCCATTCTAAAAAAAAAAAAAAATCCTTTTGAAAAATTGATGGACCGTCGTTAAATCCAAGTGTAACCATTGGTCTAAGATTCTCAGTAAGTAATAATTCCATTCCAGCCTTTGGATTATTGTGACGTCACTGTGATGTATCATATGGCTGAGGAAATTACCGTATCTTCTTCAAGCCATATACATGTGCATCTTTCCACCTTTGTCACACCATTGAGTAAATTAAAATTATATTGCCTACATTTTTTAACATTTTTAAGCCAAACCATATTTTTTTTCTTATATAATTGAATTTACAAATAGTAAATTGAAGGCGATAAGTTTTATGTTTTGGTTAATAGCATCATTAAGGTAATTAATAAAGTATTCATACAAGGAAAAGATTGAAATAATCACTACTGAAGTCGATAAAAAAACAAAAAAAGTTTTATAAATTTGAATTCTTACAATCCCTAATAAAATGATCATTTGGCTATCAATTTAAACCTACTAGATAAAAAGAAAATGCAACATGTATACCAACGCCACTAGCTGATAATTTTGAAAATCGGCAAAAAGATAATCTGTTTGGTTCCACTGCAACCTAAAGTTAACTTTTGAATTTGTAGGGAGGGGTAAGGATACCTGGTCAAATATGGTCGTTGAAAAATCACTATTGTGATTCAATATGATGCTACTCCGTCTCCGACTAGTATTTGATTCAAGCTTTTGGAATTTAACCATTTACATAGCGGAGACGGGAGAGTAACATTACATATAAAAAGAAAATTATTTGAAAACGGATAAAATAAATAATAATAAATAATTTTATTTTTATTGATGAGGCATAACGTTATCCTCTCTCATAGTATTAGTCACTAAATAATAAATAATGGAAAATATAATAAATTTATGTGATGGGAGGTGGGGGTGGGGGTGGTCAAAAGTCTGACAT